CTCCTCACTATCTGCCATCAGAGTGGTATCATCTGCATATTGGAGACTGTTGATATTTCTTCCGGCAATCTTGATTCCAGCTTGGGATTCCTCCAGTCCAGCCTTTCACATGTATTCTGCATATAAGTTGAATAATCAGGGGGAAAATATACAGCCTTGTCATACTCCTTTCCCAATTTTGAACCAATAAGTTGTTCCATATCCAGTTCTAACTGTTGCTTCCTGTCCCACGTAAAGGTTTCTCAGGAGATAAGGTGGTCTGGCCCTCCCATTTCTTTTGACTGTGGTCCACACAGTCAAAGGCTTTTGCATAGTCCATCATAGTGATAGTCATTTTGAATTTAATGTTGTTATGCCTGGACCACGGACCAAAAGCATAGGCTTCTAAGGGACAGTCATCTTTAAAGCAGTAAAGATAAGCTAATGTCACAGATCCAAATCATTCAACACCCACTTGCCATGAACTAGGCCCTAGCTTATCGTCAGAATTTGTTAGGATTTCTTAACAGATGTTCTGAGGTCAGAGCTAGGTTAACATTTAGATTGCTTTGTTTTGTGACTCCTCAGTAGAAGGTAAGCACAGGCTTCTCTTAATAGCCTCATTACAGGTACATTTTCTGAGGAAATCCCACTATTGGAAAGAAAACATATTAATAATCACTTCAATCTACCAAGACAGAATCTGTTTATAGAATCAAGCTTCAAAGTAACTGAAAACCAAACTGGTCTTAAACCATTACTAGGTGTGAAATGCAACACCATTGTCCTTTTATTTACAACCTTCTGTGTTTTACCATGTAATTTCTGTATTCTGACTCTTATGTCTAATGAAGTGCACGTTCTACTAAAGCTTGTATTAAAATATAGCAGTTAGTCTTTAAGGTACCAAATGTCTCTTTTTGCTTTTGTGTTTTTCTTCTTGTTCAAGAAAACTAACATGGCTACCACTCTGAAAACTTACCACATTTTTTCGTGTATAAGATGCCCCCATGTATAACCCCCCCCCACTTTTCTAACCCAAAATTAAGAAATCTTAAGTGGGGCTTAGCAAATGTAGGGTAAAAAGGATCAAAGTGCTGCAGGATGGCTTTGATCCGTGCTTTCTCCTTTTGTGAAAAATACAGTACTGTCTAAACTGGTAGTGAATTGTCAACAATTCACAAGCTGCTGTTTGCATTCCCATATCAAAGTGCCAATCATACAACTTGGTGTGCAACCAAACATTTAAGTGGCAGATGACCAATCCACTGCCATAATGTATGCAACTGCACTTAACATTAGCACAAATCCAGAGTAGATTCCAGCCAATGTATTTGGAAGGAAAGGAGAAAACTGAAGTATGACAACTACAATCAAGATCAACAAAATAGTCTCTTAAGTATTTTCAGGACCTCACAAACGCATCACTGCTAGCCTACTTTCGATCTTAATCTCCCACTGCAACCTTTCTTCTGCATTTTTCATCACAAAAAGCTCTTACAAAGAGTGATGCAAATGCAGGTAATGGGTGGTCTGATTGACAGAAGCATCCTGTTTTTCTCCAATGGCAACAACTCTTATTTTTATTTGCAGAAATGTCTTTCACCCCTAGTGTCATTTTATAAGCAAGTGTGCCATACAAAACTGCATCTGGTTAGGCCACGTTGTGGACTTGCACTTTGTGGTGGACTGTGTAGGTCTTAACTTGTAACCATGTCTCCTTTGTCTTAAGAAATTTCCTTCCTACAGTCAGGATAGGATACTGTACGTTACGATTGCTTCAGGAAGAACCAGTGTTATTCCTTTATCTTCAGCTGTGTGAAAGTAACAAATATGCTGACTCTTCTACGAAATCAGGCTCAATCTGCATTAAAAGCTAGGAAGCCACAGATGATACGTTTGCATTAATAGAAACCTTTATTTTAAAGCCAGAAATGGAAAAGGGAAAAAGGCGGAAGTCTTTATACCGCATAACAGTAAATTATTTCTTCAAGGTTCAAATTTCTGAAAAGCCACCAGTTTAGTAATGACTGTCCCCCCACCGGAAAAAAACTTTAAAACTGTTTATATTTGTAGCACACAAAAAAGGACAGTGTAAAGAATGCTGCTAGTAACTTTTTATCTTTTAGCCATTTTAAGAAATGCATATGCACATACCGTATTATCTGAAACAAGAGCATTACCAGAAAAGTTGACAAAAAGCTGTAGGGTACACTTTATTAATAGTTTAAATTGAGGAGCCTGGTACTTTGGAGCATGTTGCAAATGCAAACTACGAATGAGACTGAGGACTTTCCCAGGCTCCTGCTTCCTCCAGCCACCCGTGTACCACTGAAAAGCAAGGGTCAAGGCTTTCTCATGTGCAGCATTAAACATGTCTGTGTTAAATGCTTTGGAAAAGAAACACTAGATAGCAATGTGTAGCAGCGGTAAACTGTTTCAGGCATTTTAAATTCTGACCTCTGCAAAGCATCAGATTTCACAGACCTTAAAAGATTGGGGCATTGCATACTTGACAACCTTTGCCTCTGTATTTTAGGCGAGATCTTGTTTCAAAAGAAGCATCTATATTGAATTTACAAACCTACAGGAAGTGATTATGCAGAATAGTCTCAAGGCATGATTGGAAAAAAAACCACAAAGATTATTTTTAACTGTATGTCAATTGTGACCTGTATGTCCCATTTTCATTAAGGAGAAAAAGAACAGACACTCTTCAACAATACAAGATATGCTTGTTCATTTCTGACCCTGACTCTTCAACAATACAAGATATGCTTGTTCATTTCTAACCCTGACAAAAGCTACAGGAAACAGCAGATTTTTTTAAAATCAATGTTTTCTCATATGGTGAAAGATATTAAAATAGGCCCACTTCACATTAAGCAATCTGAACAATCAGTAATTTCAAACAAAATGAAACAGATTTAGTTTTTTTAAAAAATATATATAGACAGATCTTTAATGTACCAAAACATGAAACAGTTTGAATACACTGGCAATGGCTTCTGTGGTTTTATCATTAGCTGGATTTATTTTTACAGAAAGCAGGTTTGCATTGATGTAATATTTGGAGAAGAATTCCTGAGCTCCATTCCCAGAAGCAAAGATGTTACAAAAAGAGAAAACTGAACTCTGAACTTTAACATTTCACATAAAAGTAACTCAAAAAAGTCCCTCTGAAAAACAGAGCTACCTGCTGCATGTAAAGAACAGCCAACAATTTTCACAAGTCAAATATGAATTCAACAGCAGCCTCTTCGAATGCTCCAAATTCCTAACATATTTTCCTTGAAATGGAACAGAACTCTGAAACATGTAACTGAGCAAACATCATGACTATTCAAGCCCTGTTGAAGTCTTATCAAGAATGCAATTGTCAAAAATAGCAAAGGCAGCATCACAGCACTGTAGAAACATATGGTTGCATCTAGCACCAATTCAAATAGCAAGAAAACCCTGCATGGAATTATTGAGTTCCTACGAATCAAGTATGAAGCTACTTGTCAAGCTTACATTTCCTATCAGAAAAACAGATATGTCCATTTTTGAATGAAAGACTGTTATAATTACTAAAAG